CGTTCTCTGTCAGTTTTCTCACTCCATTTGGTGCTTGGCTGAGTTCTTTATCTCTTCATTTGATGTTTTAGGGTTTCAGGATTGTTGTATTCTCTGTTCGGCTTAGTTTTTCGGATCTTTGCTGTTGGAGGGACGGTGTGGTGCTTCTGCCTAGAGCGTCATTTAGCCGGAACTCCTCTAGGCTGTAAATCTTTATGGAAGCAGACTGGCACATCTTTCTCCCTTGGAGCAGCTGGTTGGTTTGAACCGCTGACATTTTGGTTAGCAGCCAAGCGCTTGACCACTGTGCCAGCAGGGGTCCTTCCAGAACAGTCTCAGGCCCCCGAAAACTCTGGGCCTACAAGCTTTGCACAGAGTGTCTCATTTAATTCTGCAGAGAGCCCCAAGAGAAATCGCATTATCCCCATTTTACAGATAAGGGAATGGAAACTCAGGTGAACTAATATTCCAGGATTATGCATCTCAAGAAGTGGAACCAGAGTATATGAGCCCAAGTGATTGGAGAGACTTTTTTTTTAATAATTTATTTTACTTTTTGTTATTGAGTGCATACACAGCAAAACACCAATTCAACAGTTTCTACATACAATTCAGTGACACGGAGAGAGGTTCTTAACTGGGAAGGTATGTCAGAGGGCACCACCCAGAGAGCAGGAGGTTTAAACCACTCTCACAGGACTAGATGCTGGTTTCCTCAAGCGAACGGGGAGAGAGTGCTAGGAAAGGAAACGACAGGTGTGAAGTGCTTCAGGTCCCAGAGAAGGCCTAGTGGCTGAAGCTTAGAATGTTAAGAGCTTGCCAAGACTTGAGGCTGGAGAGGTAGTCAGGGGCCAGATCAAGCGGAGGGAGTTTGTTCTTTTTCCAGAGGCAATAGGAAGCCATTAAGCAGGGCGGTGAGGTGATGTCATTTACATTGTAAAAGATTTCTAGAGCTTCTGGGCGGAGACAAAGCTGGAGAGGGAAGAGTTTGAGAAACCTGTGCATACCCATTATATTTGTCCAGAGGGAATGGTCATGGTGCTTTGGCTCGTGCTGGAGATGAAGATAAGTGGACACATTTGAGATATACTGAGGTAAAGATGATTGGGTTTGCTGATGGATTGAAGTGTTGGGGGCGGGGCGTGGAGATGAAATAATCAGTCTGACTTCTAGGTTTTGGCTTGAGTGAGTGGTCTGATGGATGCCGGCTCCATTTATTGAGATGGTGATGTTATAGTCTAAACCAAACCTAACGCGTTGCGGTGGAGTCGATTCTGACTCATAGTGACCCCATAGGACAGAGTAGAATTTCCCCATAGAGTTTCCAAGGAGCGCCTGGTGGATTCGAACTGCCGATGTTTTAGTTAGCAGCCGAGCTCTTAACCACTATGCCACCAGGGTTTGGATATCAATAAATGTTAGTTACCTTGCTTGTCCTTCCTCCTTTCATCCCAGATTCCCCATTTGGAATATCAGATGAGTGGAGAAAGCTTTAAAGAGGTGCTCTCAAGATTATGCTACACGTATAACTTTTAAGAAAGTTTACATTGACATTTTGAGGAAAGGCGACCATGGGGAACCATCCAGAATATATTAGCCAAAACCCAAACTCGCTGATGTCCAGTCAACTCTGACTCATAGCAACCCTATAGGACAGAGTAGAACTGCCCCGTAGGGTTTCTAAGTCTGTAATCTTTACAGAAGCAGACTGCCATGTCTTTCTCCCGCAGAGCGACTGGTGGGTCCGAACCACCAACCTTTGTGTTAGCAGCCTAGCGCTTAACCGCTGCGCCACCAGGGCTCCTTGACTATACCGGAAGAAGACATAAATTGTGCTTGCAAAGGGTGGGGGCGGGGAAACGCATCAAATTTACCAACGGGACAAACAGAGTTGAAATAACAATGTTTAATGTGATCAAGACTGATTGATCTAATCATGCTAATCATGTTGATATTGTATCAAAACCTCTTTAAATTGAGCCTTCTCCTGGGCCCTTCCCTTGTCAGCTTGTGAAAGCCGGCCATCACATCTCCCCCAGCGTTGTTGCATGCCAGGTGGACTGGGGAGCTGCTACGGAGAGCGTTCCTAGGTTCCAGAGACGGCCTTCACTTCTGGAAGGTAATTTTCTGCCATTTTTTTCTGTCACATATTATCGTAATGTTTAAGCGTGGTTAAAAATTGTGAGGTGACTGGAGTGGGGATCCAGAAACTTAACAGAAAGGAGAGACGTGTGGAGGTCCCTGAGTTCTGTTTGGGATCCCTACTTAATTTAGCGCATTTAGTGGCGTTAAAAGGGCCGTTCTCTGTTTTCCTTCTCAAATGTCCTTTGTAGTTTCAGATGCTGGCGGCAGGTTGGCCTAACTTTTTTCATTTTCTTTTCCTGCTAACTCCTCACTGCAGTTTTTCAGGTTTTCCTGCTCTGAACACTGAATTCTTTTAAGTATCTGTGTTGGCTCTCTTTCAGCTCCAGGGATTTCCACACAGTTTCCAAACGGTTTTCCTATCCTAGTTGCACGGTAAAAGAAATACTTGTGCAATAATAAGATCATTCCGCATTCTCTTCTTCTAATTAAGGCTAAGTCTCAAAAGATGATTCCAATAAATGTTAAATACAGCAGGTTGGAAGGGCTTTCTGTTATGTTGTTGGATCTGAGGCTGTTGTGGCAGACGTGATCTGGGTAGAAAATCAGATGTAAGCTAGACGAAGAGGCCTCATATCACTAGGATTAAATCAGAGATAGTGGTTTGATTTTATAAGCGCAGAATGGGAAAAATAACTTAAGGAGTGTTTGCCTGTTTGGGTGATTGTGAAAAATGAGGTGGCACTGATGTTTGTCGCATTAAAAAGAGGGGAAGTGGGGCTTTTTCTGCTCCTCCCAGAGTACGTGTGGGGGGCGTCTGCTCACATGTGTGGGGGCGCATTTCTTCTGGTTCCCTTTGTTCCGGTGGCTCGTTGCTGCGGCACCTGACTCCTTTACAGATAGTCTAGCTAGGGGGTGGGAGCAAACCAGGATCATGTGGGGGTGGAGCTAAGTATGTGGAGACCAACGTTTCCATTTTCAATTTTCATTTCGTGCACTAATAATATGAATTCCTGGTTTTCTCTTACACAACCAAATTCTCCTAGTGTCCTTCTGTTACTTTTGGAGTTTCCATTTCTGCTTTAACTATACATGCCTCCCAAACAGACCTTAAATACGTGAGCCTTCACGTTTTACTGGAAAAAGGAGTCTCACAACCGCCCTCGAGGCGAATTTAGATCACTCCATGTCCATTGAAAAACACAGTATGTATTTGCAACCCGGCAGTCAGTCACTGGCAGAATTTTGCAACGATTTCCCAGTTTTGTTGGCATATCTCCAGAAATAAGGTTCTTTGTAATTCTTGACTCAAACATAAGGTTCGCGTATAAAACTCTCAGCAGACAGATCACTTTATACAATTAGCTTACAATTTAAAAAGCTACAACATAATAAGGCTTTTTTGTTGGGGGGGGGGAGACGCAGTAACCTTGCGATGCTATTATGCTAACGAAGTGGAGCTTTGTGAGGGCATAAAGAAAAAAAGCAAAACCTTTGTTTTGCTCAGAAATCAATTCAGTAGCAACAGGGTCTGAGACCCGGGAGCCTCACTGTTTTTAGTAGAACGATTATTTGTCAAAACATTTGATTGTTTCCTTATTCCGACTGAAAAGTTTGGACTTTCCTTTCTGCTCAATTTTGACACTAGGATTTCCAACTATCCGCGCTATTGTGTTTACAGCATTCAAGGTTTCAGAGTTCAAAGGTTATTCATTAACATGTAGAGTGAGGCTACACTTACTATGTGAAGACCCAACTGGGGTACCACTTGTTCAGTTTCTTTGTTTTGTAGCCATGCTCCCCCCGTCATTTGTTTTGATAAGTTAAATGAAGTTTCTTGTTTATGAAGAGTGCATATTTGGATGGTGTTTTAGAATGTGAGTATGTATAAGGCTTTCAAAAAATATTTTAGAGGAAAGTATTCCCCTTCTGTGAGAAAAGGAAACCTACTACTCCAAGTGATCCATAATCACTGTACTTGAGTGAAGAAAAAAAAAAAAAAAATAGCGCTGGCTGAAGAATCTACTCCTGGCACTGCTAATTAAGTGTGAGTAAGTAATTGATTCACTTCCTTTTTAAAAAAGACTAACCCGACCATATGTCGTGGTCAGTAATATATAAAATGACAGCAAAACTTCACACTTAGCAAAATCTTCCCCTTCGCTAAGAAGCTCTCAAATTCCTTTTCCTATTTATTAAGCAGTGCATTGCTCACCAGCTCCAGATTGTTTATATAGGCCCCCCGTTTTAATTTATTAAGTATATATTTTAAATGCCTTTTTTGATGTGTTTTTCCATTTTGGATACAGTCAAGGCCAATAAAAAAAATACCTGGCATTTTTTTTTTTTTTTTTTTTTTGGTAGTGACTTGCCTAGCTCCCTTTCACATTTGCATTCGTTTGCATTTCGGGGCAGAAAACTTGGTGGTTGGGATTGTTGCTTCTGTAGTTCCTCCTCCAGGTTTACTTAAAATGGGGAATATCACGGGCCTTCAAAATAATTTTTTTTTTTTTGTGGACAAGGAAAAGAACAGTTGGAAAACTCTTTAAATGAGTTAGACTTGAGGAAGAGGGGAAAAAGGCTACTTTTTATTTTTTTGTCTTCACCATAAGCTGTTTCATTCAAATGGATTTCTATCCAAATCAAGTGGATTTTTGGAATCTAGGCCAAGTTTAGAAATCTCAAGTTATAATAGCAGGGCAAACCCAGCCCTTTTAGTGGGAAACAAATGACAACAATTTAAGGATGGCTTTATGCGGGTACTGTTTTGTATTGTACACAGCTGCCCTCTAACCTACCCGAACTGGTGCACAGGTTTTTTGTTTGTCTGTAATTCTGGATGACCCAGGAGTTCGCGCTGCCAGCCCCTCCCTCCGCCTGGGCACACCTTGCATGAGAGGTGGAGGCGGCGAGGAAGAAAGAGGCCTGGGTCTGCGCTTGCGCATTCCTCTCGCGCCCCCTCCCCCCGTACCTGTCACTGGAACCGCCTGGGCGCGCGCGGGCCACGTTAAGCCGGATGGCGGGCGGCGGCGGGAGGGGGATGCGGCCGGGCGCGCGCGTGCGCGGGAGTCCAGGGCTACAACAGGGAGTGCGCGGGCTCGCGCCCCGGAGGTGGAGTCCGAGCGGTGGGC